CTTTTAGGGGTTGAGTGCTCACCCAAATATCTTCCCAAAAAAGAATGGAGTTTCCAGAACAAGCGTCATACCTTACAAATCTGAGGAACTTTGGGAGAATGCCATAAATAGCCTTCCAAGGTGGTGTGAGCGAAGCCCTTCGGGGTACCTCTGCGTCCCAACCTGATTCAGAACAGCCATGGATACTCTTCACTACTTCATGCCACAACCTCTCCCTCTCCAAGGGCCACCTTCAAAGTCACTTACCTAAAAGAGCTTCATTCTTACTCACCACATTCCCTAAGCGTAGGCCTCCTTCATTTTTGCTTCTACTCACCACCTCCCACCTAATCAAGTGATCTTTTTTCTCTTCCCCAGGTTCCCATAAGAAGTCCCTTATCAGTTTTTCCAACCACTTAATTTATATTAGTAATGATTTTTTTTTTATTTCTTTTGAAGCGCTACACAACGGGGGTAGCCCATTCCCCAACCCATAACCCCCAACCCAGGTGCAGACGGGATTTGATCCCAAGTCTCCGCTATGACCAAAATGCAGTGTATTCTCTTAATTTTTCTAATGAAAGTTACCGTTTCTGATAAAAAAAGGTCTCCACTATGACCAGCAGGAGACATTACCAACCTGCTGGTTGGCACCTTGCTTAGTAATGATTGTATCTATGCTGTAAAATAATAACTCAGCTCTTGCTGATCAAAAAAAAAAAAAAGGACCCAGCTCTTCAGCCTTGCTGCTAGCATTTATTTGGAATACATACATTGGATCATCCCCAAAATTTGGATTTAATTTAAGACAATTTCCATAAAGAATGGCTCATTTCATTGTTATCTCAATCAAAGAGCTTTACTGGAAACAATTTCTGAGAGGTATACAATCATCTAGTTACCCTATGAAATGGAGAACCAGATATAAACCATCCTGAGGAAAAGGGAAATGGAAATATTGAAGTGACCCCTTCTAGCAGTTGCCCTCCATGCACTGTGAACATCATTGTAAATGTAACAAAACTCCACCTTCAGCCAAATGCTGGTACTCAAGTAAACTACAAACTTACCGCGTTGCCTCCTCTTTAGCCCCTCCCTTCAGCCCTAGTAACACTGATCTTTCCTCATCCTCTCTCTCCTTTATACTTACCTTGGAAGCAGACATATGAGGATTCTCCCATGATATTGCCAAGTCCATTGCCTTGTTTTAATGAGATCCATTATAGTGGAGTCTTCATTGGGATTGACAGTTAGGGGTCCTACTTCAGATCTAGTGCTTGGCTTTTAAGAGTAAATGAAGGTCTCTTTGTTGGCTGAAGATGAAGAAGTGAGTGGAAAGCTTGTTGTTCATTGAAGAATGACAGGAAACTAAATTCCAACGAGGAAGCACTTTGGAAATAAGAAGAAAAATAACTCTTGTTGCTCAAATTCCTTCTATATCAAGGTCTTCAGTTCCTCAAATGTAGTGTCTGAAACTGTTTCTTCCTGCCTTGAGCCCCCATCGATAACATTTCTCTTGTAATAGTTGCCCCTCATGGATCCTCTTCCCTCGAGAGGTGTAAAGTGTGTTGCGCCGGGTCCACGGGACGTCACGGGCCATGCCGCCCTCCCCAGTGAAAAGTTTGGGGGTCGGCCCAGCAAGGCCCAAGCTCGTGTGGACCCGTGCCATGCCGCGGGCCGGGCTGGCCCGTGGGCCAAGCCTTGGCCCAAGCAGGGCCATGGATCGGGCCAAAGCTATTTTTTGCCTATTTATTTAAAAAATTGAAATAAAAACGTAAAATTTTAATTTTATATGATTTTTGATGTATATAATTGCTTATATATACAATAATTAAATAAATTAGTTTAATAAAATTGAAAACAACCGTTTATTTTATAAATATATTATATACTATATATTATTATGTAATTATAATTTATATAATGTATTATATATTATATATATAAATATATATAAAATATATATAAATAGTATATATGGCCCATGTTGGGCCGTGTCGGCACGCGGGCCGTGGGCGGCATGGCCCGCTTGGTCGTGCCGTGCCGGCCTGGCCTGCGGACGACATGGACCATTGTGTCGGGCCTGGCACGACCCGCGTGCCATCGTGCCGGGTTGCGGGCGGCATGGCCCCATTTACACCTCTACTTCCCTCCTTAATATGTTTCCTTTTGTGTTTGGCAGAAGTAGGTTATGGTCATAGTGTTTCTCAATTGGTTCATTTGCTTCCTCTACTGCATTCCCTTTCCTCTTCTCTCTTTGCTTATATGTGTTCATTGAGATTTGAGTCTTAAACCACATTTTTCATGAAGCCCCATTCTACCATTGTTCTGTTGGTGTCTCATAATGAAATTCTCTACTTTCGTATGAAGTTTAACCAGATGTGAGACGGAAGGGTAAAATATTGTAAAATAGAAGGTAGAATATCATTAGAATTCTATAACTATATGTGGTAGGGCAGAGTAATATTGTGAAATAGAAAATATAAACTATTATAAGCAGTAGAATTCTATACTTTGGGCTTGTGTATGTTTTCTTCTAGAAAGGAGAGAAGAAGAGGAGAAGAGAGAAGAGAGAAGGGAAGGAGAAGAGAAAAAGGCGCCCATCTTTCTATTGTGAAATAGAAAATATAAACTACTATAAGCAGTAGAATTCTATACTTTGGGCTTGTGTATGTTTTCTTCTAGAAAGGAGAGAGCAAGAGGAGAAGAGAGTAGAGAGTAGAGAGTAGAGAGAAGAGAGAAGAGAGAAGAGACAAAGGTGCCCAGCTTTCTATTTATAATAATGAGATTAAAATAGAAGGCAGAAATTACATACTTGCCCCTGGTGACACATCCTAATAAAAAGACAATAAGAAAATGCAAGAAACAAGCTGACAGCATCCTAGAACTAACAGCTGAGATGACTCTAATAGCAGAAATAACTCTCATAACTATTCTAACAACAGTGTATTGTCCATAGGTTTTGCTTGAAGTGAGTGACTAAATTGTTTAGTTTTTTTGAAGCATTTAGTTGTTTTTTTTGGATCGGCAACAGAAAACCAGAATTCATTAGTTAAAAAAGAAGCAAGTAAAACAAGATGTTGTAAGATTACAAATCAGTTAGAAGAAATGAACATAGTCTCAGCTATCTCACCCCAAAATATTGTTTATTACAATTGAGCCCAATACAATTGTTGTCTAGTAACCCCTTGTTTAGTTAACCCATCAGCCAAACTGTTGGCTGACCTTTGTACCCGTTGTATTTCCAACTGCATGTCTCTAGAAATCCAATCGAAGTATCTAATTTCATTCCTGTAGTTCCAGTTTGCTTAAGCGCTCTTTGAAATCCAGCTTATAATCACTTTTGAATCTACTTAAATGACCAATCTATCAAGCCCCATTTCCTTTGCCTTTTGCACCCCAATCACTGCTGCCTTTAGTTCCACCCTGGTGGAATCTCCTTCACCTATTGGACCTGAGTACAACGCAAGTATAGTCCATTTTTGTCTCTATTACTCCCCCTATCCCAGAAAGACCTGGGTTTCCCACACTGCTCCCATCAAAGTTCAACTTCCTCCATCCCCTACCTGGTTGTTACCATTCCCTTTTCAGTTTAGGTTTCTTAGAAGAAGTTGCAATTGCACCCCAATTTCTGAGGAAATCATCCATGGTGAAATCTGAAAACAAATCCAATGTTTTTACCCAATGTGCAATCTTCACTGTAAGACATTCAATAATAGCTTCCTTACTTTTTTGAAGCATTTAATTGTCCAATTGCTTTTGGATCATTCCATATTTTGAGTCCGTGCGTCCTCCATAGGATTGTATGAAGCAAGTGTTTAATTGTCTAGTTTCTTTGTAGTATCTAAATTTTGCAGTTTTCTTGTCCTATGTTGCTTCAGACACATGAACTTGATAACAACCTGAATAATTGTGTATGTCATTGTTATGATGCATGCAGGTACTTCCACCTCTTTGTGCAGAGCTCCGGAATTTGGTTATGCAACAAATGATTTTGCCCATGGTTCTCACAATAGCCGAGTCCCAGGTACACTTTTACTCCATCCTTGTATTTTAGAATGCAAAGTGCATAGCACTTGGTTTTAGCATTCTCAAAATAGCCATTAGCATTTCTCAGAATCCCGTCCCCCACCTCCTGTATCACTTGTATATCAGGCTTCTTTCAAGATGGATCAATATGGTGAAATAGCCTATGAAAATCCTTTTAAAGCATGTTTAAATGCTTGTATAGGAAAAAGGGTGCAGTTGGGGTTGCCATTATTGTGGGAAGCTATTACTTTATCTCTCTTCACATGATAATTAATAAAGTTTGCTTAGTTACTCATAAAAAAATCTAATGGAGGAACAGACTACAAAACCTGTGAAAATGGTAAAGTTCACAAGAATCCCCGTGTTATTTGGTAACCATGATAATATGTGAGGCCCATTTACTATGGTTTTTCTTTAATCCGATTTCAGATCAGTAGAAGAATGTTTAAAAGTTGTGAAACCAAAAGGTGAGGTTTCTATGAATATCTAAGGGAACACAGGGGCTGATGGTTAGGTTAGGATATGCTTTTTAATGCTGAAATTTGCAACAATAAGTTGTTGCAAGCAAAACAGTCTAAGGGTGCAAAATAAGGATAAAGTAGGAGGGAAAAATTGGTTGAGAAGGATTAATATAGTAGCAGATCTGTTGACTGAAAAATGAAGGGAAACCTGCCGGAAAAATCAAGAAAAGAAGAGGAAGCAAGAGAAAGATGGAGAGAAGAGAGAAGAGAAGAGAAAGAAAAGGAAGAAAAGGGGCTGCTAAAAGTGTTCTGACTGCCCCATCTCTTATAATTTATACTTAAGAAATAAAATACATACAATGACCATCATACCCTTGGTAAGTTGGCTGCTGGAAACATTAAGAAAAGGTTATGGGCCAAATTCCAATAACAATAAAATATAAAAATAAAACAAATCCCAGAACCATTGTGTCAAGGCGACTAGGTGATTTTTAGAGGTTGCCTCGCCCAATGCCAAGGTGCTTTTCGTTTTAGGCGCTCACCCATATACATATTATATTATTTTTTTGAATGCGCATATGTATTATATCATTTTATTGTTTGGTTTTATTTTATTAGAATACACCCTGTTGTATTTTACCATTTTTTATTAAAGTAATTGTCTTTTATATTAAAGTTACGAAAGTTTCTTTGGGTTTGAGTTCTGAACCAAGAGCTGAGAAGAGAAACCGAGGACTGAGTTTCCATTGTTCAATCTAAGTCGTCCAAGACCTCCAGGTAAGTTTTGGGATGAAACAGGGGCTCCTCCTCCTTCCTAAAATCACATTGGTACTCCTTTATTTTACTTCTTACTTTTTTTTTTAAACACTTTTAGGAACGAAACAGGGGCTCTGCTCCCTTCTTCTTAACAGGGGCTGTGCCCCAACTTTTTAAAACTTTCCTGTATTTTTTATACTATTTTTTAATAATGCATTTTTTTGAACGAAACGGGGGCTCTGTCCATTTTTTCTCTCTTTTTTTCGTTGAATTCTTCATTTTTTAAGCCTGAAACAAGGTCTCCGCCCCCTTAAACACAGTCCAAGTTGTCCTCTTGGACAACTTATTTTGGGAACGAAACAGGGACTCTGCCCCCTTATTTTTGTCTCTTTTCTTATCTGCACTCCCCTGTTTTTGTTGGCCAGAAACAGGTATGATGTATATATATGATGGCATTTTATGTTTTAGTTGAATGATTTTATTGCTAATAGCTAGCATACCAGTGTGTTGGTTAGTATAAAAAACTAATAAAGTAGCTTAAGAGGGTTAGGGATATTTATTTTATACTTTCAAATTCCATCACCTAGGCACCTAGGCGACTGAGTGTCCTGTGGTCACCTAGGCTTGCCTAGGTGCCTTGACAACTATGCCCAGAACATGTTAACGAATATCAAGCTGGAAGGAAGTGTGAAGATGAACTTTGATGGGAGTAGTCAGGGTAACCCCATAGTTTTCAAGGTGCTAAGGTGAGGATAGGCGACAAGGTAGGCGACAAGGGGGCGCCTTGTCGCCTAGGCGAAGGATTTTTTTATGTAGAAAACATAGATCCTAGGGTAGCTCCCTAGGTACCATAACCATATTTCCTTAAGAATTATTCATAATTTTCACAAGAAAAGTATAGAGTTCATGTTAAAGTAAAGAAAATCAACATATTCATGAGAAGAAAAAGAAGAGGAAAAGAAAATTCAAAAAATATAGGGGCTGAACCCTTATTTTTGTTATAGGAAAAGAATAAAAGAAAATGTGTAGTAGTAGTAGTAGTAGTAAAAAGAAATGCCAAAAAAAAATTAAGAAAAGAAATAAGACTTTGGATGATTCACAAAGGATGAAAGAGAAAAACAACTCTCAAAACAATTACAAAGATTCACTAAACTAATATTCAGTCAAGAAATAAAGTGCCATATAAACTAGAGATATGTCCTAATGGCGTCAGCACCACTAGGTTTCTCTAGGAGCCAGCACCTAGAGATGGAGTCAGTATCTTCAGAGTTTTGAAGTTGGCACTAAACACACAGCAGAGAAAACTCTTCATTCACTCAGTCAATGCTTAGAAGAGTTTATGTAGGTTTATGTAGGTTAAAGGAAGGAGACAACATTACAAAATTCTTCCACAGCTATGCATCGGGTAGGTGCAGAAAGAATCTCATCTCAAAAATTAAGGTGGACCAGAGGGAAGTGGAAGAAGCAGAAGAGATCACTGAGACTTTTCTAAACCATTTCAAATCTCTTTACTCCAAGGAAAGGGCTAGGAGTTTTAATTTAAGAAACTGGGAAGGGCCGACTCTAGCAGAAGACAAGAGAATTTGGCTTGAAAGGGAATTTGAAGATCAAGAAATAAGAGAAGCAGTCTTTGATATGGATGGAGATAGAGCACTTGGGCCCGATGGTTTCCCGATCTTCTTCTTCCAGATCTGTTGGGAAGTAGTAAGAGAGGATATTTTGGAGGTCTTTAAAGAATTCCACTCCACGGGGTGGTCAAAAAAGGAGTTAATTCCACTTTTATATGCCTCATTCCAAAGAAAATTGGTGTCTTGGAAGTAAAAGACTACAGGCCAATAAGTCTTGTAGGGAGTGTGTACAAAATAATGGCAAAGGTGTTGGCAAAAAGACTCGGAGAGGTTCTAAAAGAGTTGGTTTCCCAAAATCAGTTTGCTTTTGTGAGAGGAAGACAAATTGTAGACAGCATCCTAATTGCAAATGAAATTGTAGAAGACAGAAGGAAGAGTGGAAGGAAGGGCCTTCTAGTGAAAAGAAGGCCTTAATTTGATCAAAGGAGAGCCTAAATTGTAGAAGATATTGAAAAAGCTTACGATAAAGTTGATTGGGATTGCCTGCTCCAGATTCTATATTTGAAGGGCTTCGGTACAAAATGGCTGCAGTGGATGAAAGGCTGTATTAGTTCTACCTGGTTCTCGATCATGATCAATGGAGAGCCTAAAGGTTATTTTAAAGCCAGCAGGGGTCTACGGCAGGGTTGCCCCCTCTCTCCGTTCCTCTTTACAATGGTAATGGATGTTTGCAGCCAGCTTTTGGAGAAAGCTAAAAACCTTAATTTGATCAAAGGTTTTGAGGTAGGAAGAGATGCCATAAATGTCTTCCACCTCCTCTTTGCTGATGATGTCATCTTATTCCTGGAAGCCAATCCGGAGAACATCTCAAATGTGAAAAGAGTGCTTCAGTGTTTTGAATTAGTATCGGGGCTGAAGGTAAATTACACAAAGAGTAGCCTAGCAGCAATAAACCAGATTGAAGGGTCCCTGATGGAAAATTTCAAGGAAATTCTGAATTGTAGAGTGGAAAATCTCCCCCTTTCCTATTTGGGCATGCCACTAGGAGGGAATCCAAAAAATTCAAGCTTTTGGGAGCCTGTGGTGGAAAAGTGCGAAAAGAAGTTAGCTACTTGGAAAAGCTGCTACCTATCAAAAGGGGGTAGAATTACACTTATTAAGGCCTCCCTTGCAAACATGCCTGTATATTTCCTATAGTATTTCAGATCCCTGCAAAAGTCAGATCACAGATTGAAAAAATCCAAAGAGATTTCCTTTGGGAAGGTGGAGGTGTAAAAAAGGGGCACCTAGTGAATTGGAATCAGGTCTGTAAACCAAAAGAGGCTGGAGGATTAGGAATTAGGCATCTAAAAGAGAAAAACATTGCCCTTCTTGGAAAATGACTGTGGAGATTCCCCACAGAATCAAATTCTCTTTGGGCAACTATCATCACCAGCAAGTACGGGTTAAATGTAAACGATTGGGATTGCAATCTCCGCTCAAACCGATCAGCTTTCTCAAATCCCTGGAAAGGTATTTCTGCTATTCACAACCTCTTTATTTCTTTCATTAGATACAAGGTGGGTAACGGTACTAGAATAAAATTCTGGACGGATTTGTGGTGGAGCAACTCCACATTACCAGATCTGTATCCCAG